CGCGCCGCCGACCTGCGGGTGTACATGCCGAGCGCGCCGCAGTCGTAGCCCGGGCGCCTCTCCAGGATCTGCTCGAAGAGGCCCAGCGCCGCGGCGACCTCGGACGCCTCGGGCGGCCCCTCCGCTGCGGCGCCCTCGCGCGGCGCCGGGCAGCCCGCGCCGGCGGAGCCCCGGGGGGCGTGGCCCGAGGCCGCGCCGGGGCCTTCCTGGCGGCAGCGGTGCCGCGCCTCGCCGGGGGGCGCCGGCTCCGCCGCGCGCCCGCGCTCGGGCGCCGCCCTTCTGGCCGGGTGCGGGCCCTTGGCGGCGCCGCCGGCCTTCGGCGCGCGCGCGGCCCGCGCGCTGGCGGACCCGAGGCGGAAGGCGGCGGCCATCACGGCGACCATGAGGATGTTGGTCTGCCAGTTGTAGTTTGCCTCGGGCATCTGGATGGAGCCGGCGAGGAGGGCCTCGCTGAGCGCGTAGAGCGCGATGGCGAGCGCCACGGGGCCCGCGCGGCGCGCGCGCTCGGCGTCGACGGTGGGAGACAAGACCTGGCGGCAGAGCGACGACATCATCTTGGGTGGTTGCGCCCTTCCGGGCGAGAGAGGCAAAGGTTGGTGGTTCGGGGCACCGCGTGTGCCCTGGAGAAGACGGTCCTGCACGGACGTGTGTGATGTCTACCGCAACGGCGGCGCTTGTCTGCCTGGGAGCTTGCCCAAATGGCTGCGGAGGAGCCTCCGAGCAATTCAGGCCTGGTGCCACGCACGGGCAGCCCTCGGAGCAACAGCAACTCTCCAAACTCCAGCCCTGGGGCATGAAGAGCCCCAAGGGCGCCGCCCACGGCGGCGCCAAGGCAGCAGAGTCGGGTGTTGCCAGAGGTGCCTCAGGCCCGAAGTGTCTCCAGCTGTTCGCTCCATTTCGGAGCCGCTGGGGCCCGCTGGGCCTCTTGAGGGATGCTCCTTGACATTCCTGGGGCCACCTTGGGGCCTACTTGAAATTCCTGGGGGGCCAATTTGAAACGCCCGTGGCAGCGCCCGACAGAGGAGAG